ACATGGTTGCATATGAGATGATTCAAAATCTCAAAGAAATATATGAAGGGAAAGCACGTCAAGAGAGATATGAGACCTCTAAAGCTCTATTTCAATGTAAAATGGCATAGGGAACTCATGTAGGAGCTCATGTCATCAAGATGATGGGCTACATCCAAACGTTGGAAAAGCTGGGATTTCCTCTCAAAGATGAATTGACTACCGATGTTATCCTGCAATCGTTTCCATATAGCTTTAGCCAATTTTTCCTTAATTTCAACATGAATGAAATTAACAAAACTTTTCCACAATTACTTGGCATGTTACGAACTACTGAAAGTAACATGAAAAATGTTGGACCTAAGCCCATTCTGATGGTCCACAAGGACAAAGGAAAGGGAAAAAAAAGGTAGTGGCAAAGTCTAAGGGAAATGGTAATACCAAACTAAAAGGAAAAAATGTATTGAAACCCAAAGGGGGAGTTAGCAAAGAAGGAAAATGTTTCCATTATGATAAGACCGGACACTGGAAGAGAAACTGCCTGTTTACCTTGAAGAGGTCAAGAAGGAAAAAGCAAACGGAACGTTTGTTTCAGGTATTTATGTTATTGATGTTAATTTGTTAACATCTACTTCTTGGGTATTAGATACCGGTTGTGGTTCTCATATTTGTACTTCTATACAGGGATTGCAAAAGAGAAGGAATCTGGCTAAAGGAGACGTGGACCTACGAGTGGGAAATGGAGCAAGAGTTGTTGCATTATCTATAGGGACATATGTTTTATCTTTTCCTAGTGGACTTGATTTAAATTTAGAGGATTGTTATTATGTGCCTAGTTTGACTAAGAACATTATTTCTATTTCTTGTTTGCACAAGATTGGCTTTGAGATTATTATTAAGAATAATTGTTGTTCTTTTTATCTCGATAATGTTTTTATGGTTCGGCACAATTGGTTAATGGTCTCTATATTTTGGATCAAGATAACACCATTTATAACATAAATACTAAGAGATCAAAAACAAATGACTCGAATCAAACTTATCTTTGGCATTACCGTTTAGGCCATATAAGTGAGAAACACATATCAAAACTTCATAAAGATGGATTCTTAGATTCATTTATTTTCGAACAATATGATGTATGCGAATCTTGCTTGTTGGGAAAAATGACTAAAGCTCCTTTTAATAGTAAAGGTGAGCGAGCAAATGATTTATTGGGGTTAATACATAGTGATGTATGTGGACCAATGAATACACAAGCCAGAGGTGGATTCCATTACTTCATTATTTTTACCGATGACTTCAGTCGATATGGGTATATTTATCTTATGCGCCATAAATCTGAAGCCCTTGAAAAGTTTAAGGAATTTAAAAATGAAGTACAAAATCAACTAGGAAAGAGTATTAAGGCACTTCGATCAGATCGAGGTGGAGAATACTAAAGCATAGAGTTTGATGAACTCCTAAAAGAATGTGGGATTGTCTCACAGCTTACACCACCTGGTACACCACAGTGGAATAGAGTTTCTGAAAGAAGGAATCAAACACTGTTAGACATGGTTCGATTGATAATGAGTTATAGTGATCTTCCAACTTCTTTTTGGGGACATGCGCTTGAAACAGTCGCTTTCACACTAAATCGTGTTCCATCTAAATCGGTTCAAAAGACACCATACGAGATATAGACTGGGAAACGTCCCAGTATGTCTTTTATGAAGATCTAGGGTTGTGAAGCTTATGTAAAACATCAGATGTCTACAAAGCTCAAACCTAAATCTCATAAGTGTATATTTGTTGGATATCCTAAACAAATTAAGGGATATTATTTCTTCAACCCTAACGAGAACAAAGTGTTTGTTTCTCGAACAGGAGTTTTTCTCGAAAGAGAATTTCTCTCAAAGAAAGGGGAGGGTAGAAATATTGAACTTGGAGAAGTTCAAGAGCAAAAAATAAATGAACCTGAAGATGAGCATGTTTCACAAGTTGTTGAGGAGCATTCAACAGATTTAGAAACACAATCACTGCGTAGATCCACAAGAGAACATCGTGCATATGAGAGATTTAGATTTCTCGTTACGACACATGGAGATGTTCTTCTTATGGATCAAGATGAGCCCAAGACTTATCAAGATGTAGTGTCTAGCCCAGACTCTGAGAAATGGCTTGAAGCCATGAGATCTGAGATGGATTCCATATCAGTAAACCAAGTATGGACTTTGGTTGAACCACCTAAAGGTGTCAAACCTATAGGGTGTAAATGGGTTTTCAAGAAGAAACCGATATAGATGGTAATGTACAACATACAAGGGGCGATTAGTCACAAAAGGTTTTCGACAAGTTCATGGTGTAGACTATGACGAAACATTCTTCCCTGTAGTTATGTTTAAGTCCATCCAGATTCTGCCCGCAATAGTTACATTCCATAATTATGAAATCTGGCAAATGGATGTCAAAACCTCCTTCCTTAATGGAAAACTTGAAGAGGATGTGTATATGACACAACCAAAAGGTTTTGTCTTTCCAGGAAATGTTGGAAAGGTTTATAAGCTACAAAGGTCTATTTATGGACTAAAACAAGCTTCTCGAAGCTGGAATCTTCATTTCAATGATGCAATCAAAGAGCTTGGTTTTATCAGAAATGAAGATGAGCCTTGTGTTTATAAGAAGGCTAGTGGGAGCATTGTTTCTTTCCTAATCTTATATGTAGACGACATACTCATCATAGGAAATGATATACCTACTTTACAGTCTGTTAAGACTTGGTTAAGTAGTTGTTTTTCTATGAAAGATTTGGGTGAGGCATCGTATATCTTAGGAGTTAAGATCTATAGAGATAGATCAAGACGACTTATAGGTCTGAGTCAAAGTACATATGTAGACAAAGTGCTGAAAAGGTTCAGTATGGAAGAATCCAAGAAAGGATTTTTGCCTATGAGACATGGCATTTCTCTTTCTAAGGAAATGTGTCCTTCAACTCCACTAGAAAGAGAAAGGATGAATAAGATTCCATATGCTTCGGCTATTGGTTCTATAATGTATGCCATGATATTTACTCGACCAGATGTATCGTATGCTCTAAGCATGACGAGTCGGTATCAAGCAATCCCTGGTGAAAATCACTGGGTTGCGGTTAAAAATTTCCTTAAGTACTTAAGAAGAACTAAGGATAAATTTATTGTCTATGGAAGGGAGGAAGAGCTTAGTATAAAAGGTTATAATGATGCCAGCTTCCAAACTGACAAGGATGACTCACGATTGTAATCGGGTTTTGTGTTTTGTCTTAATGGAGGTGCTGTGAGCTGGAAAAGTTCAAAGCAAGACACAGTAGCTGATTCTACAATAGAGGTTGAATACATTGCAGCCAGTGAAGCAGTAAAAGAGGTTGTTTGGATCAAGAAGTTCATATTGGAATTAGGGGTTCTTCCCAGCATATCAGATGTTGTAGAACTCTGTTGTGACAATAATGGAGCCAATGCACAAGCAAAGGAACCAATATCTCATCAACGATCCAAACATATTCTTAGGCGCTTTCATCTCATTCGAGAAATCATTGATCGAGGAGATATGGAAATATGTAGAGTACTCACGGATGACAATATTGATGATCCCTTGACAAAGCCTCTTACACAGCAGAGGCATGATCATCACACTGAGTCACTCGGTATTAGATATATGAGTTATTGGTCTTAGTGCTAGTGGGAGATTGTTAGAGTATGCTCAAAGGCCAATCATATGATGATTGTAATAATACTTTTATTTACTCGATTTTATTGAATAAAGGCATTGCCGCTATTATTTTCATTTATATATATGTGTTTAACATAAACTGGAAGATAATAAAGTCCATATAATGACATAATTGTTATTATTAAAAAGATCCCTAGTCTAGTATTTTTATGGGCATGGACAATAATAATACGCTTAAGACTAACATGTTATTGATTGATGACAATGAGTTGTCATTGATATAAAGATGTTAGAATTGATACATGATTATATTGTTAGAGAACAATGTATTGGATTGACCGACCATGAGCATATGTCTTGGATTATTATGTGAAAGTCATAACATTGCTCATGGTGATGACTATATGTATGATCCTCAGACTTGAGATCAATACTATCCTAACATATATTGTTGTATGTTTTGATGCAACTAAACAAGCTCCGTAACTGGTTGCTCTATAAAGACTGTTATTGAATATATCTCAATATATGTAGTGGGTGTGTATGATTAAGATACGATTCGTCCTTCCTACATAATAGGAAATATATCACAGGCTACTTGATTGAGTAAGACTAGAAATGCATGGCCATGCTCGAATAAGTTGATATGAGATATCATAAATTATTCGTTAATTAAAGTCTACTCTAGATATCAAGAAACAATAGATGGGCTATACAAGTGTGACTATTCCAAGACTTGTGCCTATTCTAGACTTAAAGGACATAAGGATGTAATATAAGAGTAATCACCAAGATGATATGTCGAATCATATTTTCTTGTAACTTAGGTGACAATGATATATTGCTAGATGTCACTCATTGTATATAATATTAGAATTGTTATAATAATTACTGCTAACGTTACAAGAACCTACAAGGTCACACCCTAGGATTGAAACGAGCAAAGATGTACAATTTGTTGTACGTTACTAAAATATATGTTTTAATAATCCCGAATATTTAATTTCAATTAATTAATAAAATATAGATTTAATTAATTTGAAATAATAAAATCCCCAATATGATTAGGGTAACTTGTATATAAGAGGATTTTTAAATTCTAATTAATTAAATATAGATTTAATTAATTTAAAATAATAAAACCCTAATATGATTAGGGTAACTTGGCTATAAAAGGGTGTGTTAGGTCTAGCAGTCGTTTTTGCAACAAACACACAAACCCTTCAGCCATTTTCTCTCAAAATTGTTTTGGGGAAAATAAATATTGCTCTCAATCGGGTGAACTGAGTAAAGGTTGAAACGTGATTTCGTGGAGGCTTTCGATTCGAATCGATCTACACCATCGTATTCACTATTGTTCTTGCTGTTTTCAAGGAACCCACTGTAAGTATTCGTATCTCTTCCTCCCGGTTTCGGTTTTTCGTATTTGGATCGCTGGTGAGATCGTCGAGTTTTGTTTCCGCTGTGCCATGTGGTGCGCCGATGGTCCCATCACTTCTAGCATCCTAAGGAATGATGCATTGTAAAAATTTAAAAGCCCCAGTATATCTTCTCCTACACTAGCCAAGAATTTTCCAACACTCTCCATGAACTTGATAAACACATCTTAGAGAGTTTATCAAGCTTCACTTTGATATTCAAAAAAATGGATCAAAACCCCAAATAGCTCCTTTCCAAAATTTGAGTCAATAAGATCTCAAACAAACAGAGCACCGTACCAACTGCTTTTCATAAAAAGCAATCACAAGGAACAATCAATTCAGGCCCTTTAATGGAACGCAATAACTCAACTAGGCATTGTTACCTTCATTGCCGAAATCTATAAGAGAACTTCATTTGAACCAAGCTAACACAAATCTCTTCTTCACTACCTTCAAGACGACTCCATATTTTTCTTCCTAAATTAACACAAAGAATGTCTCCTTAAGCAAAACAAAAGACAACTCAGAGTGCCTAAACAAGAATTCTCGCCACAAAACTATTAATATCACAATCCTATAAAACATTTGACAGACATCTATCGAGTAGAACCTCTAGCACGACCAAAACCCCAAACAAAGAGAAAAATCACCTCTCCAAGATTTAAATATAGTACTTAAGACCCACTGCCAAACACGCAAATCTGCTTCATTCTCTTCTATAAACTCTGACCCAAAAGATATAAATTATTCACTTTCTCCTTTCATGGATAAAACTTCAGAGTTCACCCAGTTGGACAAAATCATCAATAATATGCTCTTCGTTGCCCTCAAATTGGATCCCTAACAACCTTTCAAGATCTATGGTTATTTTAGTTTCTCAGATTAAAATATTCCTTCTGGTAGAGAGATATGATTCTAAAAAAGATGCTCCCTTTAAATTTGCTGCATTTTTTATTATATTTTATTGCACGATCTCTCTCTTCCTCTCTAGATTAGAGAGGACCTTATCTTGAATCTCAAGCATAGATCCATATCTTTTAATTGATCTTGGTAGTTTCCTATTGAACTTGGGAATGTATACATACCACGTTATTTCCGTACCCATTCATGTTAGGTAATCGAAAATATATATTTGCTGAAATATATGCTTTGGGATTGAGTATAGAAGAGAAGCAAGGTATTCTAAATGTTAAACAAAATAGATAGTCTTTCCATTTAGCTCAGTTTAGTTAGCAAGCTATGCTTGGCTTCCTCAGTAACATTTGATTCAACATAGTTGCATTACATTTATTTTAAAGGCATGAGATCAATAAGACTCAGAAAACAATGAATTATATTTATTTTAAACACACTTATATTTATTCCATGCAAATAAAACAAATCCACAAATGTTCCTTGCATCCTTCAATCATTAATGCATATATTGGTCTTTTTCAACATTTTGAAGAAATAATTTTATTTAATTACTTCTGGTTCGATTTCGAATGCAGTTAAAGGATAACTCTTTGACAATCCCATTAAAGCGGTAAAGATGATTTTGTTAAGATCAGATCGATCAATTGCAATATCAGAAAGAGGAACCCAAATCATCATCTCTTTGCTTTTGATGCCCGTAAACTTCCGCATCCGACCATCCTCAAGGAAGCCCGTCATCTCGGATGCGAACGAGCTTATTCCAATGTCCTTCAACCTATACTTGGTGGTCTGTTGTTGTTTCAGCCACGTAAAACCCGTGATCGGGTTAAACCCGAACTCAACTAAATTGTTACAAGGCATCAACGTTTTGGGTAGTCGGAACTTCTCGAGGAGCTCTTGCGCTTTTTGCTTGCAAAGCGTTGCGCCATGGTATACTTCAGCACCAGCTCGGTGAGTTTCTATATCCTTAGATGCCATTCGACTGATCTTTTGTTTGTTTTGTTTCAATTTGCAAATTCCAACAATCTCAACTTGCTTATATACAGTCCCTTATCTACCCAATGGCAGAAAATGAAGGCATTTTTGTGTTTGATTTTTTGTTTTTAAATTCAGTTTGTGAATGTGTGCATACTTTTCTATGATTTAATTTTTATTCTTTAAGTAATATTTTAAGCATCATATGAAAGAATTCATTGATTATTTCTCAGTGAACCTTTTTATAGATTGATTTGGTTTTGAAACTAAACAAATGGATTTTGTTTGGAAACGGGGATTTTTGTATTCATCTTTAAAAATGGGAATGAATTATTGCTTTGCATGATTGCATTAAATAAATTGATTATGAGGTAGAGAGAGAAAACTCATGGGGCATGAGCTACATTCTTGGTATATGGGAAATCAATGAATAAGTTTTAAACGAATTAATTAAGATTGATCTTAGTTTGACCACTGAAAAAAATCAATTTATCAAGTAGATCATTGAACTTCTAATTTGATTTCACTCAAGTCGCCGAATGTTAATTGGTAACGAAATTGTTCATGTGGTAGTTAAACAAATTTGTATAATAATCTATTTGATCCTTAATAATTTAATATTTCATTCAATTCAATCTTAAATACAATTAATTCAATAAATTTAATAATAATTCTATCAGTTGGATGCACATCATGTTTTTTAGCCCACTCATCTTCCTCATTTTTTTCTTATCTCTCAAACAAAAAACTCAAAAAACAAAACCTCCTCCCCAAATGAAAAAGCACAAAAATTAATCATATCATTATCATCCCATCACCATATGAGATATTTATATTTAATCCTAAAATTCTAGAACTTCACTTGAATGTTTGTGAACTTTTTTATTTCTATTTTTATGTATTTTATTTAATTCGAATTGTAATTAGATTTCGAGGTTGTTATTGGATATTGTTACAAGTTAAATTTAGGTAATACAAAATAGGAAGAAATATTTTGAAAATTAGTTTTGATTAGCGTCATTTTAATATGAAAATGTCACTAATGGAGTACATAATCAACAGGGTTGTGTGGACCAACGCTAGTTTATACCTTATTATTAGCAGGGCTTTTAGCAAAATACATAAATTAAAACCTAAAAAGATCAACACGAAGCAAAATAGCATCCAATCGATTCGACGAATAGCCTGCAATCTACCCTCTTAATTAGAAAAAATGTAAAAAACCAAATTTTGATTAGTGACCAAAATGTAAATTTTGAAAGTTTAGTGGTCAAAATATAAAATTGGGAAATGTTTACGGACCTAAGTGGTAATTTTCTCAAAAAAGAATTTTTATTTCATAAATAGATAGTTTAGTCTTGAGAGTGAGATTTTATTGAAATCAGATTCTTGATCCGGAATTTATGTTGAAAGCTAAAAAGGGTTAAAGTCTGGTAAGAAATCAGTAAATCGGATCGATTAGAAATTTTGGAAAAAATTGATGGATGATAAATTAGGCTTAAAATATTATTTAAACATTTTAAAATGATGGAAAATAATATAAACTATTAGATTTTAGGATTTAATTCCATGTTAAATTTGGATCGTTGGATTAAAGTGGTAAAATTGTAATTTTTGGAAATTTCAAAGGCAAAATGGTAAAGTGGGAAAATATTTTCTTCATCTTTGACTTTTGTAAGATGATAAGTTTGAGGTGTCTTGGTTTTATGGTAAATATCAAGTTTTATGGTAAATATCAAGTTTTATGGTAAATATCAGGTTTTATTAAGGGTAAATTTGTCTTTTCCCGATTAAATGAATAAAATATTCATTTAAGCTTAAATTAAAGGTAAATTAACATGAAATTTAACTAAAATTTCATGAAAATTGTTCATCCTTTTCTCCTCCAAGTCGTGAGCTTCTCTAAAGGTGAGAGAAAACTTCTTTTTGATTTTTGAGCAATTTCCTTTGGATTTTGAGTTATGCCGTGAAATATAAAATTATTATACACGAAAAACACTATCTTTTGACACCATTTATGCTTGCTAATCTTGCTTGATTTGAAATATCCTAAATTCTAGTGTTTGTGTTCACATTAAGGTTTATGAAATTGATGATGAATTTTGAGGTTTTTAGGTTATAGATTCATTGTCAAGATTGTATGATGAGTAGAACATGTTCAATCTTCCTAGAAATGTTTCTTTGATATTCGACCAAACTAGAAGTTGAGGGAAACTTTGTGTTTTGATTAAATTGATTAGGGCTTTGATTGTAGAGATGTTGTAAGGTTGGATGGAATTTGATTTCATGCTTGAATGGAATCAAAATCGAACAAAATCATGAAAGATCTAGTCTAGGAGCTTTGGAACATTCGACCATGGCTTATATAGATGAGAAAATTATGGAAAATTATGTAAGTTGTGTAGCCTTATAAAAATTTGGGGACTATTATGTGATTTTTGAAAAGTTAGGGAATCAAATCAATAATTTTTGAAAAAGTTATGGATTGTTGTGTAAGAGTTCAATAGTTGATGTACTATGCTAGAAATTAATGAGTGTTGAAATTGAAGTTAGGATGTGAAATTGGATTATTTTTGGAAAGCTTATAAAGTTAAGGTTTAAAGCACAAATATGGAAAGTTTGGGAGCTCAAGTAAAAATGTTATGTGAATTTGGATTAAATGGAATTTGAATGGTCAATTAGAAGTGTTAAGTACAACATTTATGTTGAAACATGGAAATTGTATCGAATAAGCTTCGAAAATTTTGTTAGGGATTTATTTGCCAAAGTATATCTATGATAGTAAGATTCTAACATTTGGTTTGAATTTTTATATGGCTGGTAATTTTGTCCATTTAGATCGAGTGCTTGAAATCAAGATCAAGCAATATTAAAGCTAAGGAAAAGCTTAAGGATGGAATGTGAAATCCTAAGAGAAATTTGCAAGCTAAGGACACCAGGTGAGTGCAAATTTATTTTGTACTTATGTTATTGAACAAGCATTTGCTTGCGATGAGCCAGTGAAGGAGTTACTATGGTAAGAGGTGACTCCTAAAATGTTGTGTGATTTGTGATTCATGCTTACATATGCATTTGGTGAGCTAATAGAATTAGAGAACAAGTTGAAAATGAAATTGGTGAAATATGCCTAGCTTGATGTTCCAAATAGTAAGTTTAGAAAATCACCATAAATTCTACAAAAATGATTGGAGGATTATTTTTATACCGTTGGATTATTATACAAGTTTAGTTTTGTTTAGAACAAATGAAAATTGATTTCGAGTTATATTCATAAAGATATGAATTTTTAACCAAGGATAGGTCAGAAAACGGGGCAGCAGATTTGTTCAAAATAGATTTTGCCGGTCAACTTTGCAAATTCACCATAAATTGTACAAATTGAACTATAAGAAGTACCTTACATGGATAGATTCGTATTTAAGTCTAGTTTCTAGTAGTATAAATAATATTTTAAAGGTGTAGATTAATACATATTAATATTTCTTTAAAGGTAGTGCAAACTGCCAGGATGTGAAATTATGACAAATTTTGGGATTTAACCAAAGTAGAAGCAAATGATCAAGTTAAAGCTTAGTGAGGCTTATATTTTGACTTGTATATAATTTATAAATGAGTGCAATGCATGTATAACATTATACATGGATGTTTTATACATCATTGGGTAGGACTTGCGATGAGTCTATCTTGTTTATATTGGCATGATATTTATGTCATTTATCATATATTTGACATATTCTAAATATGTCGAGGGTTGAATATAAAATGCATTGATCACTGTTTATTATATATGTTGTTTATCATGAGTATATATATGATGTTTATCATAAATGTTATTTTGGGTATGAACTACCCATTGTTAAATAATGATAATATACTTTGCCATGGATGGATCAAATAAAATAGACTATATGCCCAAGTAATTCATTGAGGGACAGGGTATAGTTGACATGCCATAGATTCTAGCAGCAGTTGCATATCAATTAAGTACTTCGGTGCATATGGTGGAAATAACCTTATGTGTATCACTTCAGAGCATATAGTGGGCACGACCTTATGTGTAAACATTACGGTGCATATATTTGAATCGAATACCCAGGGTCCTTGATCGCTTGTAAATGTAAATGATAAGGCAAACAAATTTGTGCAAGTGTACACAGTCGAATCAAGTAATAAAGAATAAGTGAGTTATCATCTCCTCAGGGATTGGTAGGGGTTTTGATGTTTTCCCACAACTAGAACTAGGTGTCACGAGCTAGTCCTTGAATTCTTGTCAAAATAAAGAAACAATTAGTAATGGATTAAATGAACAGGTGTCAAAGAGTTACTAAAGCAAGAGAATGTTGTGAAGTGTGGTTGCAGAAAAGGTTGGTCAAGGAAAATAAAATATAAAAAAGTAACAAATATAAATAGTCATGGCAAGGAAAAATTTTGATTCAAATACATTTAGAATAACCTCACATATTCATATTTTTCACAAAGCACTTAGGTTGGCCTTTCTATAATGAGAAATTATTCTAAGTCAAGAAAGAATTGTTATGATATGCTTAGGCTGCCCGACAGGATTACTGGAGTATTCTAGGACGGTTTCTATGGCAATACTACTCAGCGTTAGGTACAACCCTTGGTTTGTCAGACTATTGTTGTGGCAATACTCCTCAGCATGAACTATAGTCATTGTCTATTTTGCTCAAGCATTTATCCCTTTTAGTCGATTGAATCCCTCTCCTTATCTCTAAGACAGGTTAGAACATCACCATCCTGAATCTATTCTATTGTTCACGTAGATCTATGTTAATTCTCTCGAATCTAAGAATCAATTTCTAGATAACAACAATCTCTCGAATGCTCTTACAAAGTCTACAAATGTTTCGTCTAGGCACCAGGAAATCTCTCAAAAGCTCTTACAGTGTCAAGGAAAAATATTAAAACAATGAACAAAACAGTCTAAGCAAAATCATAATTCATCATTCATTAACCATCAAATGATCGTCTCGGCAAAATAA